TTGTCTGGGGCGCGATTTGAGTGAGAGCCGTAGCGGCAACAAGAACTGCAAAGATGACACTAGAGGCATCAAGTTAGTCAAACCGTCGGAATATGAGTAGAGACAGAAGACTCACGTAACAACTGTACCAGGCTGAGTGATCTCACCCTCAGAGTACATCCTCATCCCCTGCCAAAAGGCCAATCCATAACCTGCAAAGATACAAAAGAACTCGGTTGGGAATAGAACCATGTATACCCAAGACTTCTTGTGCCCAATCCTCCTCGCCTCCTCAAGCGTATTCGTGAACCTCTTTGACAGCTTAGGGAACGCCCAGAAAGCATGAGCAGTTCTAATAGTCGAGAAAGCCTCTTCCGCCAAGGAACTCGATCGCGAGTAGACATCAAACATGGCGTATTCATAGCCAGTATCGATAGCAACACAAATAATCGTTACAACGAGGTTGACGGGAATGATGGCAAGGACAATGAGTGTCAATTTCCATTGCACGGCAAAGGCGACGACAAAGGCTGAGACAAAAGTTGATAGAGCGGCAATGGTGATGCCAAATTTTTCAGATATTCCCTGGTTGATGAGATTTCCATTTGTTGTGATTTGTCCTGGGATTGATGAGGATGGAGAGTCGAAGAAGGCGACTTCTTGACGAAGGGTGCTTCGTACAAAGTCGACACGCAGTGCTTTTGTGGTGTTGATAGCAGCAATAGAGACGAGAATCTACCCCCATCAGCTTTTATTTTTGCATGAATATTGCGTATAAGTGACTTACCGTCCAAAGATATGTCAAAGCAAACTTTGCGATAAAGAGATAGATAAAGTACAAGCTATGAATGGTCAGTGTCTGACTGCAAACAGTGGCTAACAAACATACCTGTACTTGCTGACTTCGCTTCGATACCCAGCAGGCGACAACACTCCAGTCGCAAAGTCAGTGAAAACGTTGATGAACTTTCCAAAAACAAGGTCCATCAGGGGTAGTATCGTTCCAGCGGCGATCATGGCTACGAATGCGATGCTGTTGAGGATCCATCCTAAGCGATCGTTGTAAGTAAAGACGCGCTGCGGATATTGTTAGTAGATGCTCACAATTATCGCGACTGTGATACATACCAGGTAGTACTTGAAGCTGGTATCCTTCTTTTCTTCCTTTGTGTCACCCTTTTCATCTCCGTTGTGTTCAATAGTAACCGCCATGTCCTGATTATTCGATACAGCAGAACCTGACTGTAAACCGCCAGCCGGCGTGTCTTTTTCTTTAGTTACAGCCATACTAACTTTAGAGGTGCAGTTTGTCAAAGTCAAAATAAACTGCAGATAAAGGTCGTTTTAAACAATGATGCTCGCTCTTGGCGTTGACGTCTAGACGCAACCCGCAAACCCCGGGGTGATTACGAACTGACCAATTAGCTTATACAGCCACAAGATCGACGGGGCTTGACCTGTAAGACCTAGTTTTGGAAGGTGTCCCAGAATGGCTCATTACCCGGGGTAATTATTGAGCCGCCTGCTTAATCTTGACAGCCCGAGAGTCCTTTCCCTAGATTTCGTATTCCTCGTTTAAGGGCCTACAGTCCTACCTGAGTTACAGAGTATATACTTTAACCTCAGTCCTACATGAAACGAACGCAGTGACAATTGGTTCAAACTAAAAAAACAGCATCAATGCTACCATATCCTTAGTTAGTCAATTCTATTCCCTGTTTCTCCAACTGTTACCCCCGACAATGTGAATGTCTTGCCAAAGCGAAAGCCACACTCAATGCTGACCAGATCCGGAACGCGCGCGCCACATGCTACTATAATCTATGCACGCCAAAGCCACAGCCCGGCGCCCTCAACTGCCGCCAATCGGTCCCCGCGGCTCCCGCTTCCACTCTCCTTCACCCTTCACATCCGCGATACTCACCGGAATACACACGTCGTCATCTTATCTGAGAGCCTAATCGCTTTCACCGATTACCAGAGCAAAAAAACTTATCACTTTATTGATCTTGAGCTTACTGCTGCAGCCTCAATTCCTTGGCTGCAAGTGAATACCCAAAAGAAGGTTGCCGCATCGCATATCTATCTCTATTATCAGAAACTCGATTCGATATGGAGCCTGGGAACGCAAATAACGGACCCGCGGCTTCCGATGACTCTGCTCGGAGAGCGGTAAGTACCAGATTTCCGATTTAGCCAATTCCAGCGTTGGCATTATTCAGAATATGGACTCCCCCGGCCTGACTGCCTGCGTATCGTACCGCATCGCTTACACGGCAACCCCAAAGCGATCAATCGCGAAAATGGTGTGCCATGCCAGTATGGCCTTGTTAGCTGCATCGGCCCGCTGCGAGTTTCACCCATCAACCATATCTTGTGTTATGTAACAATCCTTTTGCCTGTCAGGACTGACAAGAACTCTTGTGAACACAGTGTGATCAGTGTCGTACGAGAAAGGTGAGCATCACCCATGAATGCCTTCAGAAACACACCATAGTCAGCACGTTTCTGCAAACAATGGCTGTCCAACATAGATGGTATTAATAACACCTGCACGTTATAGATCCGATGCGATAAAGATTGGCCATGCTCCAACTGTCGTACGGCCAAGCGCTCCTGTACATCCACAGGCGTTGGCCAGAGACCCAAAGAGCCCCGGCAGCGAGTTCTCATCTCGTCCCAATAGTTCGTGACCCCATATCATCTTCTACCCCAGACGCTGTATCTGCACATGGTGCCGCTTTGTCCCCTCCATGCAGCTTCGCCGATAGCCGTTCGCCAGCCAGATAAGGCAGTTCATCCACTAACCGCTGGCATGTGTGCCTCGTAGTGAACGAAAGATCGACCAGATTGAGGTCCGCTTAGGCAATATAGAAAGCCTCCTCCGGGATCTCTCCCAACGCCCCGTCTCCACTCCAGGAAGTAACATTCATTTTCCTGTCACCCCTGCAGCCTTCCCAGGTCTCGATCCAGCCTCTGCATCTACAGCGGCTTTTGACAGTTCCGATGATGAGTCTGTTCTGGGTGGTGATTCGGTCATTGCCCAGCAAACCACCTTTGCTAGCGACCTTCTTGAGCATGCCGTCGAGCGCACCTCGTTAAACGATGTCAGTCCCAAGATGTGGGAAGCTCTCGCAAACTTGAGACAGTTGGCCGAGCTTCAGAGCCGCCAGTCCATCAGCCATGGTCCTCGTTTTCCACTCCAGCAGCCCATCCCAAAGGGAGGGTTGGGTCAACTGCCAATGCCTCCCATGGATATTGTCGTGAACTTGCTCAAGAGAGTGAGAGGTAGCAGTGACCACATCAACTGTGCAACCGTTCGCTGACTTTTGTCCAGCTTCTCCGCCAGGTCTCTTCACGTTTGTCTGCTACTTCATTGGAATAAATGACTTCTCCAACCTTTGTCGGATGGTCTACTTTCCCACAGACGACTTTAGTGATTCCACCTTCATCATCGTCAACGTTGGTCTCTATTACTTGTTTCTTGAACAGCACCACTTGACCGTTGACAACAAACCTCTAAAGGATGAGTTTGCATCACACCTTTACACAAGTCGCGTCAACCTGGAAACAGCGCTGGCAAACATGTCTCTCTTCATGTCGACCAAGATAGAAACAGTCCAGGCTCTCCTCATGGGTGTAAGCATAAGTCAGTTTGGTGTAATAAGTACTAAGCGCTAACAAAGGCATAGACATTATACACCATCGACGTCTGCAGACCCTCCGTGGCTTGGCATCTGAACTGTGCCGCCGCCCAAATCTGCCAGACTGCTGGTTTTCATCGCAGGGATCTCTCAACGCGTAACCCCGAGGAAGCTGACATCAAGGCAATCCTTTTCTGGTACACATATACCACGGACAAAGCACTAGCACTTCGACTAGGCCGTGCCCCTGCCATCCAGGATTGGGAAATCACCATTCCACGTACTTTCGGCTTCGATGGTATCTTGAGTCTTGAAACCAAAGCTGTTGCGGGTACGTGGCTTAACGCTGCAACGTTGCAGGGTCAGGTGTATGAGCAACTGTGAGTGTTATCATTTGTATCCATGTTCCCGAGTCCTCGTGGTTAATGAAGCCAGGTTTTGTCCAGCAGCATTAAGCCAACCACCAGCTGTCCTCGCCGAACGAGCCCGTCTGCTGGCAGCTGAGTGCCGCCGTGTCGAGGCGGAGTCGTTTCAGAGCCGAGAAATGGCTATCTCATCGCTCGAGAAAATCGGTGCTTCCCCTCTCGTCGATGTCCACCTGAAGGGTGACGAAGTGCAGTTGTTGTCAACCATGACTCTCATTTACAGAGCAGTTCCAGTTCCTGAAGGGTCACCCACAAGGTTCTGCAAAGACTGTATAGACACTGCACGAAAGGCTTGTCACGCACATTTCGCCTGCATGGATTTAGTGCGGAAAGACCCCCACGCGAGAGCCATATATGTCCATTGGTAGGTTCATCGTTGCAGTTCCTTGGATTTTGGGTAAATCTAACAAGGTTTTAGGAACCTGGTGCTGACTCCATTTGCCCCCTTCTTTGTTCTGTTCGGATATGTCATCGAAACGTCATCGCAAGAAGATCTCCAACTGTTGAAGCAGTTCAGTGCTTCCATTGAAGAGACCAGTGATGCGTCGGAGACTATGCAAAAACTGTCACGACTATGCAGTATCATGAGCAACGTCGCGGCCCTGTACGTCGAAGCCAAGTCTCAACAAGTGGAAGATCAGGCAATGGTGCCCATCGGTGACGAGTTCGACGTATATTTGAGCCAGCTCGGACTCATGCCTGTCATGGACTCGACCATGGGAAATGCAGGTGAGCCAAATGCAGAGTTTGGTGAGAACGCCCAAGTCAACCAAATGGCGGACTGGATGTCTGGAAGTCGAAATTTGTTGGGATTGTTGGAACAGGATATATCGCAGATCGGAGGTGTACAGTGGCCACCCATGTAGAATAGAATGATAGAAAGGACCCGGATAGATACTCGCAAATAGAATTCTCGTTTCATGTTCGTAATTTAAGATGAGTCTGATGCAGCTCAGTCGGTGGGAAACCGAGGGTCATAGACTTCATATCCTTCGTCTTCAGTGTCGCTCTCTGGTGACAAGTTCTTCTGGAGACCCGGATTGATTGGTGCTGAATCAAGTGTACTGGCCGGCTTGGGTTTCTCAGTCGTCGTTGCTGCTGATCCACTACCCTCAACTTTGGTGAAAGCACTCTTGAAGCCACTCTTCTTGAAGCCGCCTTTCTTGAAACCTCCTCCACCAGTGGCAGTCTCTTGGCCAGGGAGCTTGATGCTGATGAGACCGTCGGCTTTGGCCTCGGCCTTACGCGCACGAGAGCCCGCGGTGGGGTCACGAACCATGGCCTTCATGTCTTTGAGGCGCTGTTTGTGACTGTGATCATAGCTACTGAGATGGGCTTCATAGTCATTCATGCGTGAGTAGCCTTTTGAGCAGAGCTGGCAGTAGAAAGATTTTTGAGCTTCACGTGCCGAAGCAGTCTGCGCCGAGGGAAGAGTTAGGTGTCGCTGGTGACGCGTTAGTCAAGGCATGAGCACCAGAGTATTCTGATCTTACTGGAGGCATTTTGTTTTTGTATTCTTGTTAGTGCAGTTATGAAGATGACGTCTGATAGTGTGGTGTTGGTGAAAGCGCTGTGACTGTTGTATGCTGCTGATGTTTGATGAAGGAAGTTTGAAGCAGTGACCACGATCCAGATAAGAGTGCGGGCACTAACTCAGTTCGGCTAGAGCCTAGAATCTCGACCCCCCACCAATCAAAGCGTAGCATGTCTTGCTGACCGGGCTCCCAGAACCTCAACGTCATTTTCCCAGGGGGTCTTCGACAAGGGGCTTCCAGAACCACCTGCCCCAGAGTCTTGAAAGCTTCCCCCGTTAATCCAGCACGTTGAGGCGCTAATCCCAACTGGAAAAACTTCCAGTCCCTTCCCTGTCACGAGCCCGCGCGGTCATCTCTTGTTTTCTGTCCCCCGCCAGATATTGTTTCTTTGTCCTTTGTTTTTGTAGTCATACAGATTTTAAACGCGCTGGGCGTGGTATCATTATGGATTTCGACCAATCCCCAGATCGTCGAGCCTCACAGGCAAGCTTCTTGTCTTTACAGCAGCTTGACCCTTCCCCGATCGATTCTCCGCCAGCAGATCCCTCTATTGACCGCCGGGACCTCGGGCCACCGCCGAGAGGAAGCGATGATGGTTATGAGATGGTTGATGCTGATGATATTGAGAGGAGCTCAGCATCTATCAAGGCGCCTTCGACCGGTGCTCCCGGGCTGAGCGCAAGTACAAACCTCACAAATGGAGCTACAGGTCCAGGCCCAATCTTCTATCGTGAGTACCCAATGCGTCCACGTGTTTGGACAGCACAGTAAACTCACACTTCATCAGTTATGCGAATCCAGAAGTTCTCGAGCTACGCAATGGGTCTATTCACCTCCCTCCATCTCGCCAACGTATCCCTCATCCCCGCTGTTACTCGCTCTGTCCCTGGCTCCGAGACGTACCTCCTCATGACTCGTGAAATCTACCAGACCTCCCTTACGGAACCAATTCTCGTCGCTCTCCCTGTTATCGCCCATATTGGATCAGGAATCGCTCTTCGACTGTTGCGGAGATCACAGAACATGAAACGTTACGGTGCTGCGACCCCTGGGATGTACGCTCTCCATCGTTCAAGGACAGAACTTGAGAATCAAAGGAGAGCTTCTTCGCCATGGCCACCACTGAGCTATATCTCGATATCCGGTTACGCTTTTTCCGTCTTCTTCGCCGCCCATGTCTTCGTCAATCGTGTTCTGCCCTTGCAAGTTGAGGGCGACAGTTCCAATATCGGCCTCGCCTACGTCGCACATGCTTTTGCTCGACATCCTATCACTTCTTGGGTTTCTTACGTCGGTCTTCTTGCTGCTGGTTGCGGGCATATGATCTGGGGTCAGGCCAAGTGGTTTGGTCTATCGCCTACGACGAAATACATCTGGGGTACAAGTACCGCACCCGCGGAGAAGAGAGCCAGGAAGCAAAGGAGAAGGAGATGGGTCGCTCTCCACGGAGCTTCAGTCGCCTTTGCTGCTCTTTGGGCAGTTGGAGGCCTAGGGGTCGTCGCGAGGGGAGGTCTCATGGAAGGTTGGATAGGAAAGGTGTATGATGATATCTTCGCAGCGGTGGGGTTGTGAGGGCATGATTGATCTAGCATCATTGGAGTTTGGGTTCGTTTACATGGGAGATGTTGAACTCCTCTCTTTACACGCATTATGGAAATACCCTACGTCTATACGTTGGAGAATGAAGTAGATACGCATGGATGCATCAGGAAACTAAGCCAATATGATAATCCACAACCAAATTGACGTGCAGATAGGTATGAAGTGATACCTTTCGCAGCAGCGAATGTTCCACCATGACTTTGATTTGTGAACCATGAAGTGCTCGGCTACGTATCTAAATCACCATGAGCAATACCGTATAAACCATTTGCTAATCATATATCGATGAGTGAATCAATTTGGTGCCAAAACTCCGAAATTATTTGAACACCGACCTGTACAGGGTAAGCTCGCAATCACCATGCTCCGGTCAACCGCCGACCTTTGATCGCCACCGACATTTTACTTCTTTATCCTACCAACCTTAGAGCTTCATCAACACCTCTACAATCCCCCGCTTCCTTTCCTCTCTAGGTTATATATAGCTGATCGCAGGCTCGTCCTGCTCAGCGCACAACATCCGCACAAAATGCCGAAGCGTAAGCTCCCTCCGACCGAAGAACCCTCCGAACCACAAGAAGTATCTCAACCTCGGCCTTCAAAACGTATACGTTTCGCAAATGTGGCATATAACCCACCTTCCCACGATATTCTCACCACTATATCCTCCGAGGTTCTACTGCGAATATTATCCTTCCTGTCGTCGTCAGAGTTGCTGGATATCTCCCCCACTTCACAGCGTCTTTACCGCCTTGCGTCGGATCCTCATCTATGGCGCGAACATTACTACGAACGCTTTGTTCTTCCGCGCGCTTTACGTATACCTGGATTTAGACTCGGCGGAGCTGGCGGAACCAAGTTACAGTATTCTTCTCGACGAGCTGTGTGGGCAGATGGCCGGAAAGGAAGAGCACCGGAGGATGAGGTTCTAAGGGAGAGCAATAAGACCGAGAGTGTCGACTGGAAGAGACAGTATAAGCTACGTCACAACTGGGCCAGAGGGAAGTGCGCCGTGGAGGAGGTCAGCGTGCGGGATGCACCAGATGAGAATGGAGGGCAGAAGAGGACGTTGGTCAAGGTCGTGGAGGGCATTGCAATAACGGCTGATTCGGAATCTGGACTGCGCGCATGGGATCTTCGAACGCGGCGACCGATTGCGCAGCTCGACTTGCACGATGAAAACGAAAGCGACGATAATGCGCCGACTTCACTTGCGGTGGACGAAAACGGTTCTGGAACAGTAGTGGATATCGTGGTGGGATTCGCAGATGGCGCTTTCGGACTTTGGCGGTTGAATCTTGAGCGACAAGAACTATTACGGAGATATCGGCACGAGGAAAGTTGTAACGGAGAACTTGTCGCTGTCGCTTGTGGATATCCTTATGTCCTAACAGCGACGACAGCGGGTTTAATATCGCTATACACGTTCAACCGCCCAGATGACAAAGCTTTGAACGACACTGCGAATAGTGTCGATGATGGACCGCCATCGAAGGCGACAGAGAAACCACCGAGCGCGATCTTGCCGCCTCCATATCTCCTCACATCGCTCAAGTCGCACACCACCCATTTACCACTCGCTCTATCGATACGGCGCATGTCGTCCTCTGTGAGCGCCTCCATCGCCTACACCTTCTCCGCCCGAGAAGGCTGGTGTATCGGAATACAGGACCTGCTGATAACTCCATCAGCCGATGGCTCCGGCGTCGACACAATATCCTCCCGCCTCGCATCGACGCTCCCCATTACAGCCACTGGCGGCGCTGACTCTCCCCTCACCAATGAGTCACGCTCAGGACTTACGACTCTTTGCTACAGCCACCCGTATCTTCTCGCCACACTGCCCGACAACACTCTCGTCCTATACCTGTGCACGTCGACTGCGACATTCCTATCACTGTCCCTGGGTATCCGCCTCTGGGGCCACACATCAGGCATCTCAGATGCGGAGATCACACCGCGGGGTAAGGCCGTGAGCATTAGCACGCGAGGAGACGAGATCCGCGTATGGGAGCTGGAGGGCCGCGGCGGAGGCAGCAGCATCGAGGTACGACCTACGGCCAGGCAGCCAGCCGATGACGCAGGCAGCCCTACATCGGCACCAAGGGCTGAGTGGGAAGACCGGAGGAACTGGGTTGGATTCGATGATGAGATGGTCATCGTCCTCAAAGAGGCGCGAGACGGCCGCGAGAGCCTGATGGTCTACGACTTTACATGATCCCAATTGCCTCACGCCGTCATATTAGACGTGCCAGAAGAAGCATCACCATGACCACATTGGGACACGCGCAACAGGAGACTGTGTCGCGACTTTGCCGGCAATGGCAATCGCCGCCGCCTCCAGTCCACGCCACGCTCCAGGGGAGAAATTCCGGCCACCCGTGGCATGCTGAGAATCGCGGCGCTCTGGAACTCACACCATCCGGGAGCGTGGGAAGAACCACTCTGATAGTCCTAGAAGCCACCACCACAAACCAATCGTCTTCAGTTGAGGCTCCTGGGGTCAAGGCAGCACGACTGAAAAGTCCTAGCAAGCCTGGCTGATGCAAAAGCAAATACAAACTTGGCAGACACCGCGATACGAGCAAGGGGACGAAATATATCGATTGGCTCTGAGATGTCAATCGCGACAATCGATAGTCTCTTGCCTGGGCGTTACGATTAAACTCTGAGCGGCATTCCCGCCGACAGATGATCCTTCGCGGCGACTGGTTAGCACGACGCCTCAAGGCTGAAGCAGCGCCAGGCACGTCCCTTTGCTAGCTGGAGTTCATTGAACGTCATGAAAAGCCAATTCAAATAAATAAAAAACAAGGCAGCTCCAAAACCAAGGTCGTACAAAAGCCGCATCCGCATCTCGCTCATCAGGGGGTGGCTGTAAGAAGCCAAACTCTCTCCGGCGTAGCATCTTAACCTGAGGCCAGCTGGGATGACTTGTCAAAAGCTTAGAGTACCTATGTAGCGATTATCCCAACGCCGCAAATAGAAATCGTCCCTTGAAAGGGGAGATCTTCAAAGGCCCCTCGTTTCTGAAACGACATCCATTGAGTTGAGTCAATAAAACGCCGGAAGTTTACTGGGAGAAGCCCCAGCTAAATTGGCGTAGCATGTCATGTTATGCATTATGTGGCTCCACGGCATGAAACAAAACCAAGGTCGTACTGACAGCGCATCAGAGGAAACAAGGGAAGGGAAGAGGCGAGAGACCTAGTTACGGAGTAGACAGTACCGGTAGCTATCAATTGCACTGCACCTTGCCTTTCTAAACGGTAGACGCGTTACACAGGACCATTGGCTCACTGCGCCCAAGCAGAAGCTGACACGCTGAGTTGCTGGATTGACCAAGGATGCTTGCTTTTGCCAGCGTATCAGCTGCGCCAATTGCATCCCGCTCGAATTGACAGGATAACGCCTCAAATGCAGTGCTACTGTTTACCTGGCAGCCTCTTCTTTTCTTTTCCAGTCCTGAGCTCACTCCAGTATCAGTGTACGCCACACTGGCTGCCCGCAGCTTCACCGTACATTTATTTGCCCGCAATACTCAGAGGCAAAAAAATAGAAATCGATAGATGACCAGAGGCGAATGCTCGGTCCCATTGGGTAGCATCAAAATGTCCGTACGATATTCGCAGAAACTGCACGTTGCCGCTGTTCGTAACCGCGTAAAGTGATACCCCCACTAGACGCGAGGGGTTCGACTTTCACATGGCAAAGATAGAGGGGGTCTTTGCTGTGTCTAGTCAAGTCTAGGAACCAGACCCAGAAGACGGGGAGGGATTGAGGTACCTCAGTGGGGCCGTCCGTTATGGAGTTGAGTTGTCTTGTGGCTATGGATCATAGTGGAGATTTTTCTTTCCAGGCGGAGAAGTCGAGTGAAGGGAGGGAGTGTGGTTATCATGGACTTTGATATGCGGAGCAGCGTAGCTGTTCAATGCCATTGAAGTCAACAGAAGCAATCATCAAGTGATCAGTATCTTGACTGAAGTGATAACTGAGCATGGAACCATTAGCACCTTGCTTTTGACCGCCGAAATACTCATAACCGAGGAAGAGCTGAAGTGAACCGAATTGAATTTGACAAAACCACCCGTGCACGCGGCCCGAATCTGCCTTAGCCGCTCAGCAAGGCGGGCGATATATCAACCGCCGCCTGAGATTGGCCGAACTGAGAGACGGCACGCTGGAAAAGAGGGAAACGGAGGGCCGAATTCGAGGGGCACAACGGACGGGGACGGTGTAAGCAGACGGACTGCGGTTGGCGTCTAGAACTAAGACGGTGGATCAGTATCTCTCACCGTTTCTTTGCGTTACAAATGCCGAAGGGTAAAAGGAAAATAACGCTGCAAAGTTCCATTACTCGATCCAGCCCATCTCAAGCAAGCCAAGAGGTGGAGGCCCGAAGCCGAGGCATGATATGCCGTCGCGTGGGTGTCAATCAAATTAGAGAGCAGGACAAACAAGACAAGACACTTGATACTCTGTGTTTGGTGTTGACGCTGTAGGCGCCTGAATAAACAGTGGTGAGCCCAATGTTGTGATATAGACACTCCAGCCATGGCAACCATTTCAAGAAAGTCGATAAGTGAGGCATAATATCTCAATTGTTGATTAGAAGAAATTGAGTCAATTTGACTTGACCCCTCTATCGCGGGGTCGCGCCGGACATCAAAGAACCATGGAAGCGAACCAACAGTTCACTCGAAGCCAGCACTAGAGTGGAAGGGTCCTCCACTAACACGCCCGTCAAAGACTGGCCCCTGTGACGAGCATTTGGATGACGTCTTTCTGCTAGCATTTGATGGATGCTCGAGGTGGTCTAGATCGCATTGGATCCCAAATGTCGTGAGCTTCAACTGCACGACTCGCCGATTTCCTTGGTTTGATGCATCCGTTGCTATCCCTTCTCTGTCACTTGAGAAGGGAGATGGCTGAAAGATGCCTCAATGTTGACCGCCCTTGCAGTCATTGAA